CACTTCATCAAGATCGCGCTGCACTGTCGCGAGTGCAAGAACTTCAACTCCATGTTCGCCATCATCAGGTACAAGTCTGCATCACTGTGCTCTGCGAGAATATTCTAGGCTCTCTCTGGTCTCTCTCTCTAGTCTCTCCCTCTGATCTCTCTCCGGTCTCTCTCTGGTCTCTCCCTGGTCTCTTTCAGTCTCTCTGGTCTTTCTCTGTTCCCTCTCTAAGTCTCTCTGTGGTCTCTCTTTCTGGTCTTGCTCTTTCTGGTCTTTCTCTCTCTGGTATCTCTCACATTAACTATTAACAATAAAACCTCTCTGGTGTCTCTCTGATCTCTCTCTCTGGTCTCTCTGGTCTTTCTCTGGTCTCTCTGGTTTCTCTCTGGTCTCTCTCTGGTCTCTCTCTGGTCTCTCTGGTCTCTTGTGGTCCCTGTGGTCTGCAATGTTTTTTACTGTGTGTGTGTCTTGGCAGTGGTCTGAACCTGGCCCCTGTGTCTCGGCTCCGCTGCACGTGGGAGAAACTTCCGTCTAAATACGAGAAACTGTTCAGTGACCTTCAGGACGTGTTCGATCCATCCAGGAACATGGCCAAATACAGGAACATCCTGAGCAGCCAGAGCATGCAGCCTCCCATCATCCCCCTGTTCCCTGTGGTCAAGAAGGACCTCACCTTTCTGCACGAAGGTAACCAGAGGGAGAGGGAGAGGGAGAGGCCAGAGGGAGAGGCCAGAGGGAGAGGCCAGAGGGAGAGGCCAGAGGGAGAGGCCAGAGGGAGAGGCCAGAGGGAGAGGCCAGAGGGAGAGGCCAGAGGGAGAGGCCAGAGGGAGAGGCCAGAGGGAGAGGCCAGAGGGAGAGGCCAGAGGGAGAGGCCAGAGGGAGAGGCCAGAGGGAGAGGCCAGCGGGAGAGGCCAGCGGGAGAGGCCAGAGGGAGAGGCCAGAGGGAGAGGCCAGAGGGAGAGGCCAGAGGGAGAGGCCAGAGGGAGAGGCCAGAGAGAGAGAGACCAGAGAGAAATAATCCTCATAGGTTGTAAAACGGTTCATATCTGTTGATCTGAGCCTGTTCCACTGGTGTTTACTGTGATGTGTGTCACAGGAAACAACTCGAGCGTCGATGGTTTGGTGAACTTTGAGAAGCTCCGGATGATCGCTAAAGAGATCCGCCACGTGGTCCGGATGACGTCAGCAAACATGGACCCAGCTCTGATGTTCAGACAGAGGTGAGAGAGGCCAGAGTGAGAGACGAGAGAGGCCAGAGTGAGAGACGAGAGAGGCCAGAGTGAGAGACGAGAAAGGCCATAGGGAGACCCATGTAAGCCAGTGTTGGTCTAATTAAAGTGACCTCATTTGGGCCTCACTCATTAGGATTATTATTTATTGTTGTTTATTATCATACATATTATAATACAAACATCTAGTTTGTATTATAATATTGCCTGTGAGTTCATAGGTGACTTTAAAGGTGATTTTAAGGCCTTGCATCTGATAAATCAGCGCTGTCAGACAACTGTGATGGAACACTGCCCCCTGCTGTCACAAAGAAACACCTGCTCCAGACTGCATCAGACAGACAAGACAGGACTGAGGCTGTAGACCCAGGACTGAGGCTGTAGACCCAGGACTGAGGCTGTAGACCCAGGACTGAGGCTGTAGACCCAGGACTGAGGCTGTAGACCCAGGACTGAGGCTGTAGACCCAGGACTGAGGCTGTAGACCCAGGACTGAGGCTGTAGACCCCAGGACTGAGGCTGTAGACCCCAGGACTGAGGCTGTAGACCCCAGGACTGAGGCTGTAGACCCAGGACTGAGGCTGTAGACCCCAGGACTGAGGCTTTAGACCCCAGGACTGAGGCTGTAGACCCCAGGACTGAGGCTGTAGACCCAGGACTGAGGCTGTAGACCCCAGGACTGAGGCTGTAGACCCCAGGACTGAGGCTGTAGACCCAGACCTGAGGCTGTAGACCCAGAACTGAGGCTGTAGACCCAGGACTGAGGCTGTAGATCCAGGACTGAGGCTGTAGATCCAGGACTGAGGCTGCAGACCCAGGACTGAGGCTGTAGACCCAGGACTGAGGCTGTAGACCCAGGACTGAGGCTGTAGACCCAGGGCTGAGGCTGTAGACCCAGGGCTGAGGCTGTAGACCCAGGGCTGAGGCTGTAGACCCAGGACTGAGGCTGTAGACCCCAGGACTGAGGCTGTAGACCCCAGGACTGAGGCTGTGTGTGTGTCTTCTGTGTTTGGTGATGTCTGATGCACAAGAGCCCTCTGTGGCGACCTCCTTCATCTCATGTCCTGTTTGTCTGAGAACTTCTGCTCACCCCTCTCACCACACAGTTGTTCACCAAACTCTAGAGTGGAAATGGCAAACCCAACTTTAAGTACCGCGCAACCCGGCGGCCATCTTGTGACTGTAATATAGCAGTATTGTAGACCACAGTAAAACTTCTCACTAGGCACATGACGGACAGTACTCTGCATATTGACAGCTTAACGAGCCGTGGAGCCGTGTTTGGGTGAGTGAAGCTCTCACCTCAGAGTTAGGGCTGTTGCCTTGTGAAAATATTAGAAAATATTTTGCATATGAGAAACGTGTAGTCCATTATAATGTCATTCTCTCTGGTCTCTCTCCACTGTCTCTATTTCTGGTCTCTCTAGTTTGTATCTGGTCTCGCTCTAGTCTCTCTCTGGACTCCCACTGGTCACTCCCTTTTTTCTGTTCTATCTCTAAGCCTAACTTATCCTGGTTCGACACAGTATTTCAACACAATTCTGAAAACACTGACAGTTGGGAGTCCTTAGGCTTCAGGAGGAGATACTATATAAGTTTGCTTAGTCCTAGCTGTGGAGTCCTTTGAAACACTGACTGTAAAGTAGAATATTGTAGTGTAAATAAAACTGTCCAGTCGCACAATACAAAGATGGCCGCCGCTGCAGACACTCTAGAGTTGGCCTCCATATTTGTCCTGTCACGCTCCCCTCTTCTCACACCTCTGAGTCACGCTTCACTCTTCACGCTTACAGGAAGAAGAGGTGGAAGAGTTTAGGGTAAGTCCTGTGCCCCCCCCTCCTCCCTCCTCCACCTCTTCCTCCCCCCCCTCCTCCCCCAGTAACCCTCTGCATCCTGGCCCCAGTGCATGTGTGTCTGCCTGTGCTCGTCCCATTCTCCTCCATCTTTATGTGACCGCATCCAAAGCATTTCCCCCAACGCTGTGATGTCGCACAGCAGTAAATACAGCTCTGTCTGAAGCTCTAATGTACAGCTCTATACGCAGCTTTAATGTTCCAGGTCTGAGTGCATTCGGTCCCATTCTCTGAGAGATAATGTGTTGGAAAGAAACGTACAGTCCATTATCAAGTGATTCTCTCTGGTGTCTCTCTGGTCTCTCTCTGGTCTCTCTTTGGTCTCTCTTTGGTCTCTCTCTGGTCTCTCTCTGGTCTCTCTCTGGTCTCTCTGCTTTCTCTGGCCTCTCTCTCTGGTCTCTCTCTGGCCTCTCCCTCTGGTCTCTCCCTCTGGTTTCTCTGTTCTTTCCCTCTGGTCTCTCTCTGGTCTCTCCCTCTGGTCTCTCTGCTTTCTCTGGCCTCTCTCTCTGGTCTCTCTCTGGTCTCTCCCTCTGGTCTCTCCCTCTGGTTTCTCTGTTCTTTCCCTCTGGTCTCTCTCTGGTCTCTCCCTCTGGTCTCTCTCTGGTCTCTCTGCTTTCTCTGGTCTCTTTCTGGCCTCTCCCTCTGGTCTCTCTCTGGTCTCTCTGCTTTCTCTGGTGTCTCTCTCTGGTTTCCCTCTGGTCTCTCTCTGGTCTCTCTCTCTCACTGGTCTCTAACATTACCTCCTCTCGTTCCCTGGTCTGTCCCTCTCTGGTTCCTCTCTTCCCCATATGGTTCTTGTGCATCTGAATCTTCTTCATGGTTGTTCTGCACGGCTCGCTCTCTCCTGGTCGCATGTGTCTGAAAAGTTGTCTTGTAAAATCTAATAAAGTTTTGGGTTTACAGGAGTGACATTAGTAGCACTGATGTTTGAGCTGCTACATGAATGAAAACCAGTGTTTGATGTTTTGTGATGTCACACTCGGTCTTTCCACTCGTCTATGATCAAAACTAAATATATGAAATAAATATATAACTCTAGAGTCATTTACATTCATATAACAACCCTGTTTCCACCAGCCCTACTCTACTCTACCCTACTCTACCCTACTCTACTCTACCCTACTCTACCCTACTCTACCCTACCCTACTCTACCCTACTCTACTCTACTCTACCCTACTCTACTCTACTCTACCCTACCCTACCCTACTCTACTCTACTCTACTCTACCCTACCCTACCCTACTCTTACTATACTATACCCTACCCTACTCTACCCTACCCTACTCTACTCTACCCTACTCTACTCTACTCTACCCTACCCTACTCTACTCTACCCTACCCTACCCTACCCTACCCTACTATACTCTACCCTACCCTACTATACTCTACCCTACTCTACTCTACCCTACTCTACTCTACCCTACCCTACTCTACCCTACCCTACTCTACTCTACCCTACTCTACTCCACCCTACTCTACCCTACCCTACCCTACTATACTCTACCCTACCCTACTATACTCTACCCTACTCTACCCTACTCTACTCTACCCTACCCTACCCTACTCTACTCTACCCTACCCTACTCTACTCTACTCTACTCTACCCTACCCTACTCTACTCTACTCTACTCTACCCTACCCTACTATACTCTACCCTACTCTACTCTACTCTACCCTACCCTACTATACTCTACCCTACTCTACTCTACTCTACCCTACTCTACTCTACCCTACTCTACCCTACCCTACCCTACCCTACTATACTCTACCCTACTATACTCTACCCTACTATACTCTACCCTACTCTACTCTACCCTACTCTACCCTACTCTACTCTACTCTACCCTACCCTTCCCTACCCTACTATACTCTACCCTACTCTACTCTACTCTACCCTACTCTACCCTACCCTACTCTACCCTACTCTACTCTACTCTACCCTACTCTACCCTACTCTACCCTACCCTACTCTACTCTACCCTACTCTACTCTACCCTACTCTACCCTACCCTACCCTACCCTACTCTACCCTACTCTACTCTACCCTACTCTACCCTACTCTACTCTACCCTACTCTACTCTACCCTACTCTACTCTACTCTACTCTACTCTACCCTACCCTACCCTACCCTACTCTACTCTACCCTACCCTACTCTACTCTACTCTACCCTACCCTACCCTACTCTACTCTACTCTACTCTACCCTACTCTACTCTACTCTACTCTACTCTACCCTACTCTACTCTACTCTACTCTACTCTACTCTACTCTACTCTACTCTACTCTACCCTACCCTACCCTACCCTACTCTACTCTACTCTACTCTACTCTACTCTACTCTACTCTACTCTACTCTACCCTACCCTACTCTACTCTACCCTACTCTACCCTACTCTACCCTACTCTACTCTACCCTACTCTACTCTACTCTACCCTACCCTACTCTACTCTACTCTACCCTACCCTACTCTACTCTACTCTACCCTACCCTACCCTACTCTACTCTACCCTACCCTACCCTACCCTACCCTACCCTACCCTACCCTACCCTACTCTACTCTACTCTACTCTACTCTACTCTACTCTACCCTACCCTACCCTACCCTACCCTACCCTACCCTACCCTACCCTACTCTACTCTACTCTACTCTACTCTACTCTACTCTACTCTACTCTACTCTACTCTACTCTACTCTGATTGGGAGTGTTTCTGCTGGTCCTGTGTAACCAGTACCAGGTTCTTCTTTAGTCCTTCTTGGCCCTGGTTCTATCCAGGGCGAGCTGGTACTAAAGTGTAGATGAGAGTAGAGTGGGGTACGGTAGCGTAAGGAAGAGTAGAGTAGGCTAGAGCAGAGTAAGGTATGGTCAGGCTAGAGTAGGGTAGAGTAGGGTACGGTAGAATAGGGCAGGGTACGGTTGGGTAGAGTAGGGTACGGTTAGGGTAGAGCAGAGTAGGGTACGGTTAGGGTAGAGCAGAGTAGGGCACGGTTAGGGTAGAGCAGAGTAGGGTACGGTTAGGGTAGAGCAGAGTAGAGGTGGAAACAGGGTTTTGTAATGTTCAAAGGCTTCTCCTGTGTCCGCCATCTTGTCCTTGCCCTGGCTCCCGTTGAGGTGATCTCTACCCTCTCTCTGACCTATGACCTCTCTGCACAGGTCCCTGAGTCAGGGCAGCACGACCTCCACGGTGCTGGACGTTCAGAGCGGCGTTCACAAGCGGCGTGTTCGTCGGAGCTCACTGTTGAACGCCAAGAAGCTGTACGAGGACGCTCTGATGGCGAGGAAGGTCAAACAGTATCTGAGCAACCTGAGCGTGGAGACCGACGAGGACAGACACCACGCCATGTCTCTGCAGTGGGAACCCTCCTGCAGCACATGTGAGCCACTCCAGACCAGACCAGAACAGATCAGACCAGACTAGACTAGACCAGAACAGAGCAGGCTGGGGTTAGGGTTTAGGAGTACGTTTGTAGGTTAGACTAGAGATGGAGAAAGACAAGAGAGAGAGAGACTAGAGTGAGAGAGAGACAAGAGAGAGAGAGAGAGAGACTGGAGTGATGGAAAGACTAGAGAGAGAAAGAGAGAGACTAGATGGAGAGATGGAGACTAGAGGGAGAGAGAGAGAAAGATGGAGACTAGAGAGACTGTAAATGAACAGACATTATAGACCTGCCAGCTCAGGCCAGTTGTCCCCTGGGTCCGTGTTTGCTTCCTCTAAACCTGTGTCTTGTGTCTCTAGTGTCGAAGAACTTGAGTGAGAGACGTTCAACGAAGTCGGACATGTCCCCAGTCTCTCTGCGCTCCACTCTGCCCACGACCAAGACCCAGAACCGGGTCTCCCAAGTCCTGCAAGTCCAGGTGCCTCTCAACCCCCTGCGCAAGAAGAGCACGGCCAAAGACATCGGCACAAGTAAGGACTGAGACTGTAGACCCAGGACTGAGGCTGTAGACCCAGGACTGAGGCTGTAGACCCAGGACTGAGGCTGCAGACCCAGGACTGAGGCTGCAGACCCAGGACTGAGGCTGCAGACCCAGGACTGAGACTGTAGACCCAGGACTGAGACTGTAGACCCAGGACTGAGGCTGTAGACCCAGGACTGAGGCTGTAGACCCAGGACTGAGGCTGTAGACCCAGGACTGAGGCTGTAGACCCAGGACTGAGGCTGCAGACCCAGGACTGAGGCTGTAGACCCAGGACTGAGGCTGTAGACCCAGGACTGAGGCTGTAGACCCAGGACTGAGGCTGCAGACCCAGGACTGAGGCTGCAGACCCAGGACTGAGGCTGCAGACCCAGGACTGAGGCTGTAGACCCAGGACTGAGGCTGTAGACCCAGGACTGAGGCTGTAGATGTGTTTTGGTGCAGACTCTCCTCAGGTGGTGAAGAAGCCTCCAGGTCCCAGCGCTGAGGAGTGGATCAGTCTGAAGAGGTCTTCTGAAGACACGGTCTCCACCCTGTCCTCCCTACACTCCAGCCCCAACGGGTCTCCTCAAGGATCGCCGAGAAAGAGTAAGAACCAGGACTGGACCAACACTGGGCAAGGCCCAGACCTTGACTGGACCATGGCTGGACCATAACTGGACCAAGACTTGACCAAGACTGGACCAAGACTGGACCAGGACAGAACCAGGACTGAAATGATCAAACCAGTGAGTGTGAGTATGTATTCTCCACAGATCTATAATAACATCTTGTTTCTGTGTTTTGTGCAGTGGGAGGAGCTCAGAAGACCCAAATGAACCTGTCTGGGTCGTCGTCGTCTCTAACCAGCGACGCGAGCACCAAGGCTAGCACTGTTAGCCTGCGCAGCTACGGCATAGGTGGGGCCCATCTCCAGAAGACCATCCTTCTCATGACCAGACAGACCAGCCAGGGAGAGGAACCAGGCCTGGAGGAGGAGAAGGAGGCTGAGGCCGGAGAGCAGAGACCAGGGAGGAGCAGTGACAAGAGCAGGCTAAAGCTAATGGCTAAAGCGCTAAGTCCAAGTCGACAGAACCCAGAGCAAGAACCAGGAGAGCAAAGACCAGGGAGAAGCAGTGACAAGAGCAGGCTAAAGCTAATGGCTAGAGCGCTAAGTCCAAGTCGACAGAACCCAGAGGAGCAAGAACCAGGAGAGCAAAGACCAGGAAGGAGCAGTGACGAGAGCAGGCTAATGCTAACGGCTACAGAGGAGCAGGGAGTTTCAGCCATGAGGAGACGCATGCTGTCTCCCTTTAGGAAGCTGAGGGAGCGGAGTGGGTCCAGGGAGAGGGATCCCCTGGTCTCCAAAGCAGCCCCAGGGCCCAGAGGTGCAGAGGGACAGAGCCCAGAGACAGAGTCAGAGTCCAGACCCCGGAGGTCCCTGAGCCCAAACCCCTTCCTCTGGCTCTGTGTGGACAAGCGCAGGAAAACAGACTGAGGCTCAGAGAAACTGTCACCTCTGAGTCCTGCTTTAAAATCACTGAACACTTTATGTCTGGATGATCTTAAAGCTGGACTGTAGTCTAGTCTCTTTCTCTGGTCTCTCTGGTTTCTCCCTGGTCTCTCCCTGGTCTCTCCCTGGTCTCTCCCTGGTCTCTCCCTGGTCTCTCTCTGGTCTCTCTCTGGTCTCTCTCTGGTCTCTCTCTGGTCTCTCTCTGGTCTCTCCCTGGTCTCTCCCTGGTCTCTCCCTGGTCTCTCCCTGGTCTCTCTCTGGTCTCTCCCTGGTCTCTCTGGTCTCTCTGGTCTCTCTCTGGTCTCTCTCTGGTCTCTCTCTGGTCTCTCCCTGGTCTCTCTCTGGTCTCTCTCTGGTCTCTCTCTGGTCTCTCCCTGGTCTCTCTCTGGTCTCTCCCTGGTCTCTCCCTGGTCTCTCTCTGGTCTCTCCCTGGTCTCTCCCTGGTCTCTCTCTGGTCTCTCTCTGGTCTCTCTCTGGTCTCTCTCTGGTCTCTCCCTGGTCTCTCTCTGGTCTCTCTCTGGTCTCTCTCTGGTCTCTCTCTGGTCTCTCCCTGGTCTCTCTCTGGTCTCTCTCTGGTCTCTCCCTGGTCTCTCTCCACTCTCTAGTTTCTCTAGCCTCTCTCTCTGGTGTCTCTCTCTGGCCTTTCTCTCTGGTCCCTCTGGTCTCTCTCCCCGGTCTCTCTCCCCGGTCTCTCTCCCCGGTCTCTCTCCATGGTCTCTCTCCCCGGTCTCTCTCCCCGGTCTCTCTCCATGGTCTCTCTCCCCGGTCTCCCTAACAGCTTTCTTTCACAGTTTTCTCAGTTTTCTGTCTGGTTTCTCTGCTCCCTCTGCTCTTTCTTCTCCCCTGTATTAACCCCTGTATTTGCTTTATTATATTCATGCAATCATTTCAAAGTTGTCCCAAAGTGTGAAATTGTTGATCTCATCTTCATGTTCCGTTCATGTCATTTTATAGTAGACGTTTTGTTTTTCTGTAGAGTTCAGTGTTCTTTCTGTGGCTGTAGTACATATGTTCAAACACCAGAGGGCAGTATTGTAATGCACTATGTCTGGGTGCATCCACACAAGAAAATACATTTCTAAATCAGCTCTCCAGCACTGTCCGCCAAACTGCTGCCTTTTCGGGACATAAAAGGCAGATTTGAAGCTTGGATACTTTCATTTTAAAACCACAAACATTTAATGACGTAATAAAATCAATCAAACTGTTTTTTTTCACTAGTTTTCACATGCATGGCCTCTGTCACATCATCAGATCAGCCTTTTCTGGTCTTTCTCTGGTCTCCCTCTCTGGTCTCCCTCTCTGGGCTCTCTCTGGTCACTGTCTCGGTTAACTCTGGCCTGTCTTTCTCGCTCTCTGGTCTCTCTCTTTAGTAACTCTCTAGTTTCTCTGGTCTTTCTTTCTGGTGTCTGGTCCCTCTCGGTCCTGGCTATCCAGCTGTTGGAACCTAAGGTTTAGGAAGGTGTTGGGTACGTTGAAACTTTGCTTTAATGATGACAGCTAAAGTAGAAGAGGAGAGGACAGTGCTGTTACTATACTTCTCCAGCAGGGGGCGCCTATGCAACATCACTGATAATCTGTGTTTTTAGTTTTAAAGTTGTTTTGCTGAGTCTTTTCTCCCGAGCGTTGTCCAGAATTACAGACTGTTTGAGCCTGGCCTTGAATGTAGAGTCTGTCTCTGCTTCTTTGACTCTTTCAGAATGTGTTTGATGTGTTTCTGGTCCTCAGGGTATGCACTGATGCCACCTGGTAAAGCCGAGAACTTGTCAGACTCGTGCCACAGCGAGATCTCGTCTCGGTCCAGCATCTGCTCCATGGAGGCAGAGGAGAGGGCCACGAGTACGACCAGAGCCTGTACTTCTGCTGCGTCTACTTCTACTCCCAGTATTTCTGCTCCAAGTACTTCTACTCTGAGTACTTTTTCGGCCAGTACTTCCACGGTCTCCACGGCCGTCCCTGAGAGCTCGCAGGCTCCACACTCCGGCCTGGACTACAGCCAGCCCAGCACCAGGTGACCATCTCCACTTCATACACCCCAACTAGTCACCATGTGGCTGTTTTGGCTTCAAAAACTTGATCTAGATATTTGCCGTCATGTTTGTGAGTTGTTTAAGGAGAGAGCTGAGCGAGAGAGAGGAGAGAGAAGAGGCAGACCAATGACAGCTGAGCGAGAGAGACCAGAGAGAGACACGAGAGAGAGAGAGGAAAGAGACAGAGACTAGAGAGAGAGACCAGAGAGAGACCAGAGAGGAGAGACCAGAGGAGAGACCAGAGAGAGAGACCAGAGAGAGAGACCAGAGAGAGAGACCAGAGAGAGAGACCAGAGAGAGAGACCAGAGAGAAGAGACCAGAGAGGAGAGACCAGAGAGGAGAGACCAGAGAGGAGAGACCAGAGAGGAGAGACCAGAGAGGAGAGACCAGAGAGGAGAGACCAGAGAGGAGAGACCAGAGAGGAGAGACCAGAGAGGAGAGACCAGAGAGGAGAGACCAGAGAGGAGAGACCAGAGAGGAGAGACCAGAGAGGAGAGACCAGAGAGGAGAGACCAGAGAGGAGAGACCAGAGAGGAGAGACCAGAGAGGAGAGACCACAGAGGAGAGACCACAGAGGAGAGACCACAGAGGAGAGACCACAGAGGAGAGACCACAGAGGAGAGACCACAGAGGAGAGACCAGAAGTTTTATCTCTGCAGTTGTTCCTCTGGTTTTGTCCTTGTGTTGTTAAAGAAACAGTGAAGTCTTAAAACAGTGAACGCGTCTCATAAAAGCCGCTTCACGCTCCTGTTTATGGTTTCTCCGTGATCGGGCCGATGCCAGCTCGTAAACCGGAGCCGTAAAATATAGACCCTCCTCCCCCTCCTCACCCCCTCCCCCCCTCACCTCGCCCCAGCTCCACTCGGCACGCGGCTCGTACTTAAACGTGGTACTTTCACTTTCATTGAGAAGAACCCAGTAAAAATATGAACGTCACGGAGACAGCTGGCCCCAGGAGATAGAGGGAGTTAGGAAAGTTAGTTTTAGTCGTAAATCTGAAACTCACAGGACTTTATGAGCTATAATGTTATTACAGTGTTTGTCTAAGCAATGATAACAAACATATGGGAGCCAGGACTGAGGCTGTAGACCCAGGACTGAGGCTGTAGACCCAGGACTGAGGCTGTAGACCCAGGACTGAGGCTGTAGATCCAGGACTGAGGCTGAAAATCCAGGACTGAGGCTGTAGACCCAGGACTGAGGCTGTAGACCCAGGACTGAGGCTGTAGACCCAGGACTGAGGCTGTAGACCCAGGACTGAGGCTGTAGACCCAGGACTGAGGCTGTAGACCCAGGACTGAGGCTGTAGACCCAGGACTGAGGCTGTAGACCCAGGACTGAGGCTGTAGATCCAGGACTGAGGCTGAAAATCCAGGACTGAGGCTGTAGACCCAGGACTGAGGCTGTAGACCCAGGACTGAGGCTGTAGACCCAGGACTGAGGCTGTAGACCCAGGACTGAGGCTGTAGACCCAGGACTGAGGCTGTAGACCCAGGACTGAGGCTGTAGACCCAGGACTGAGGCTGTAGACCCAGGACTGAGGCTGTAGATCCAGGACTGAGGCTGTAGATCCAGGACTGAGGCTGAAAATCCAGGACTGAGGCTGTAGACCCAGGACTGAGGCTGTAGACCCAGGACTGAGGCTGTAGATCCAGGACTGAGGCTGTAGATCCAGGACTGAGGCTGTAGATCCAGGACTGAGGCTGTAGATCCAGGACTGAGGCTGTAGACCCAGGACTGAGGCTGTAGACCCAGGACTGAGGCTGTAGATCCAGGACTGAGGCTGAAAATCCAGGACTGAGGCTGTAGACCCAGGACTGAGGCTGTAGATCCAGGACTGAGGCTGAAAATCCAGGACTGAGGCTGTAGACCCAGGACTGAGGCTGTAGATCCAGGACTGAGGCTGTAGATCCAGGACTGAGGCTGTAGACCCAGGACTGAGGCTGTAGATCCAGGACTGAGGCTGTAGACCCAGGACTGAGGCTGTAGATCCAGGACTGAGGCTGTAGATCCAGGACTGAGGCTGTAGATCCAGGACTGAGGCTGTAGACCCAGGACTGAGGCTTTAGACCCAGGACTGAGGCTGTAGATCCAGGACTGAGGCTGTAGATCCAGGACTGAGGCTGTAGACCCAGGACTGAGGCTGTAGACCCAGGACTGAGGCTGTAGATCCAGGACTGAGGCTGTAGACCCAGGACTGAGATGTTTTTTAATCTTGCAGCTGGACTTCGATGAGTTATGATGTTTTTACACCTGTCTTCCTCTCTACACTGATGCTGTTCCCTCTCTCTCTCTCTGTCGCTCCCTCCGTCTCTCCCTTAGCAGACCAGAGGGAGACCAGAGAGACCAGAGAGAGACCAGAGAGAGACCAGAGAGAGAGACCAGAGAGACACCAGAGAGCTCTTATCACATGATCATAAAGATTCTCTCTTTTTGGTGAGCAGGTCCTTTGTCGACAGTGGTTCTATGTCCACAGCACATCTGGGGGAGGGGGTGGAGTGAGAAGCTAACAGATGTTCTTGAGGGTCTGTGTTGGTGGGGACTGGGGGGAGAGCACTGGTGGAGCCTTATGCCTGGAACTCCAGCCCCAGGCCCAGTTTGTGGCCTCCGGCGTTTATGTTTTTCCCATCGAGGAGAGCGGAGAGGGTCATCTTGATGCCTGTGGAGGAAAGGTGTTAGCATTGTCCATCTGTATACAGTCTGTGTTAGCATGTAGCATCTGTATACAGTCTGTGTTAGCATGTAGCATCTGTATACAGTCTGTGTTAGCATGTAGCATCTGTATACAGTCTGTGTTAGGCATGTAGCATCTGTATACAGTCTGTGTTAGCATGTAGCATCTGTATACAGTCTGTGTTAGCATGTAGCATCTGTATACAGTCTGTGTTAGCATGTAGCATCTGTATACAGTCTGTGTTAGCATGTAGCATCTGTATACAGCCTGTGTTAGCATGTAGCATCTGTATACAGTCTGTGTTAGCATGTAGCATCTCACCAGGTTTCAGGGTCTGGGTGTAGCCGAGGCCGACGAGGCTCGAGTTGTTCACCTTTGCCTGGAAACACGACAGAAAGAGTTCAAAGTCTAAGTGTGGGTTTGAAGCAGTTACCAGTGCTTCTAAAAACAGGTTACATTGTGCCATTACATCTAAAACCATTACAATGAGTTCCAGACGCAACAGTCAGGGTTCTCGTCCCAAAACTTGTCTAGACTCTGGGTTTCTCTCCCTATTTCTCGCCCCCTCTGGTCTCTCTTTTGCGCTCCCTGGTCTCTCCCTCTCTCCCTCTCAACCCCCGGTCTCTCTCTCTCTCCCTCTCAACCCCCGGTCTCTCTCTCTCTCCCTCTCTTCCCCCGGTCTCTCTCTCTCTCCCTCTCTCCCCGGTCTCTCTCCCCTCCCCCCCCTCACTCACAGAGAAGGCGGCGTCCTGGTCGATCTGGTATTTAGCCGCGATGCCGAAGCGTGTGTTGCTGTTGCCCGCGGTCCAGGCCAGATTCACCGCTGTCTCCAGTTTATCGTTCACTTTCTGGAAGATGGAGCCTCCAAACTCTGTGCCGTCGTTCCTGAACACACACCAGAAACACCATCAACACCATCAACACAAGAGAAAACAGAAAAAAAAGAGGAGCCAGAGAGACCAGAGAGAGGCCAGGCAGACTAGAGAGAGACCCGAGAGAGAGACCAGAGAGAGACACCAGAAAGAGAGACCAGAGAGAGAGACCAGAGAGAGAGACCAGAGAGAGAGACCAGAGAGAGAGACCAGAGAGGGAGACCAGAGAGGGAGAGACCAGAGAGGGAGAGACCAGAGAGGGAGAGACCAGAGAGGGAGAGACCAGAGAGGGAGAGACCAGAGAGGGAGAGACCAGAGAGAGAGAGAGACCAGAGAGAGAGACCAGAGAGAGAGACCAGAAAGAGAGACCAGAGAGAGAGACCAGAGAGAGAGACCAGAGAGGGAGAGACCAGAGAGAGAGAGACCAGAGAGAGAGAGACCAGAGAGGGAGACCAGAGAGGGAGACCAGAGAGAGACCAGAGAGAGAGACCAGAGAGAGAGACCAGAGAGAGAGACCAGAGAGAGAGACCAGAGAGAGAGACCAGAGAGAGAGACCAGAGAGGGAGACCAGAGAGAGAGACCAGAGAGGGAGACCAGAGAGAGAGACCAGAGAGAGAGGCCAGAGAGAGAGACCAGAGAGAGAGACCAGAGAGAGAGACCAGAGAGAGAGACCAGAGAGGGAGACCAGAGAGAGAGACCAGAGAGGGAGACCAGAGAGAGAGACCAGAGAGAGAGACCAGAGAGAGAGACCAGAGAGGGAGACCAGAGAGAGAGACCAGAGAGGGAGACCAGAGAGAGAGACCAGAGAGAGAGACCAGAGAGAGAGACCAGAGAGGGAGACCAGAGAGAGAGACCAGAGAGGGAGACCAGAGAGAGACCTAGCTTCTTACACGTTGGTGTGGAGCTGGAACTCGTCGGTCTTGTATCCGACGGCGAAGTTGCTCTGTGTGACGCGGTTGCGCCCGGCCTCGAAGGTGGTCTGGTACCCGGCCAGCCAGCCCTCGTACCCGACCACGGCCGCCCCGTGGATGGCGGTGCCGTTGATGTCGTAGTTGACGTCGCAGCCCACGTTCACGTGCTCGCACTTGTAAGCCGTCTTCAGCTTCCCGCCCTTCTTCCTGCAACAACATCGCAGCGAGAGTTTAAAGCTGAGGTACCTAACTTCAAACGTCAATCTCTCTGTGGTACCATCAAGAACTGATGGATGTTATCAGCTCTCTCTCTGGGCTCTCTCTCTCTCTCTCTGGTCTCAGGCTCTCTCTCTCTCTCTCTGGTCTCAGGCTCTCTCTCTCTCTCTCTGGTCTCAGGCGCTCTCTCTCTCTGGTCTCAGGCGCTCCCTCTCTGGTCTCAGGCTCTCTCCCTCCCTCTCTGGTCTCAGGCTCTCTCCCTCCCTCTCTGGTCTCAGGCTCTCTCCCTCCCTCTCTGGTCTCAGGCTCTCTCCCTCCCTCTCTGGTCTCAGGCTCTCTCCCTCCCTCTCTGGTCTCAGGCTCTCTCCCTCCCTCTCTGGTCTCAGGCTCTCTCCCTCCCTCTCTGGTCTCAGGCTCTCTCCCTCCCTCTCTGGTCTCAGGCTCTCTCCCTCCCTCTCTGGTCTCAGGCTCTCTCCCTCCCTCTCTGGTCTCAGGCTCTCTCCCTCCCTCTCTGGTCTCAGGCTCTCTCCCTCCCTCTCTGGTCTCACGCTCTCTCCCGCTCTCTCTGGTCTCACGCTCTCTCCCTCCCTCTCCCGCTCTCTCTGGTCTCAGGCTCTCTCCCGCTCTCTCTCCGGTCACACGCTCTCCCATTTTGGTCTTGTGCTCTCCCTCTCTGGTGTCTCCCTGGTTCTAACATGTATTCAGGTCATATCTATAGATCTGATTGGCTGAGAGTGGACCACCCTCTCTCAGCCAATCAGCTCTCAGCCCAGAGAGTCCAATAGTGACTGACAGGGCTCCTGGAAGAAACATTTATATTTTCTATTAAAGTCACATACACTATGCTCTGATTTGTTCTCTCATGTCACTTCTATTGGATTGGTTACACTGTAAAAACTTAGGTACCCGAGCTTTAAGTGTCATATGTTCTTACCCAGTGTTTGGAGAAAAGGATGAGTCGAAAGTCAACTTCAGGCCTTTAAACAACTGAAACACACAAATATACATACAATAAATACATGTTCTATGTTACTGGTCTCTCCCCCTCTGGTCTCTCCCTCGGGCCGGCCTCTCTCCCTCGGGCCGGCCTCTCTCCCTCCCTCTCCGGCCTCTCTGTCTCCCTCTCCGGCCTCTCTGTCTCCCTCTCCGGCCTCTCAGTCTCCCTCTCCGGCCTCTCAGTCTCCCTCTCCGGCCTCTCAGTCTCCCTCTCCGGCCTCTCAGTCTCCCTCTCCGGCCTCTCAGTCTCCCTCTCCGGCCTCTCAGTCTCCCTCTCCGGCCTCTCAGTCTCCCTCTCCGGCCTCTCAGTCTCCCTCTCCGTCTCTCCCCTCTCGGCCTCTCAGTCTCCCTCTCCGGCCTCTCAGTCTCCCTCTCCGGCCTCTCAGTCTCCCTCTCCGGCCTCTCAGTCTCCCTCTCCGGCCTCTCTGTCTCCCTCTCCGGCCTCTCTGTCTCCCTCTCCGGCCTCTCTGTCTCCCTCTCCGGCCTCTCTGTCTCCCTCTCCGGCCTCTCTGTCTCCCTCTCCGGCCTCTCTGTCTCCCTCTCCGGCCTCTCTGTCTCCCTCTCCGGCCTCTCTGTCTCCCTCTCCGGCCTCTCTGTCTCCCTCTCCGGCCTCTCTGTCTCCCTCTCCGGCCTCTCTGTCTCCCTCTCCGGCCTCTCTGCCTCCCTCTCCGGCCTCTCTGTCTCCCTCTCCGGCCTCTCTGTCTCCCTCTCCGGCCTCTCTGTCTCCCTCTCCGGCCTCTCTGTCTCCCTCTCCGGCCTCTCTGTCTCCCTCTCCGGCCTCTCTGTCTCCCTCTCCGGCCTCTCTGTCTCCCTCTCCGGCCTCTCTGTCTCCCTCTCCGGCCTCTCTGTCTCCCTCTCCGGCCTCTCTGCCTCCCTCTCCGGCCTCTCTGCCTCCCTCTCCGGCCTCTCTGCCTCCCTCTCCGGCCTCTCTGCCTCCCTCTCCGGCCTCTCTGCCTCCCTCTCCGGCCTCTCTGCCTCCCTCTCCGGCCTCTCTGTCTCCCTCTCCGGCCTCTCTGTCTCCCTCTCCGGCCTCTCTGTCTCCCTCTCCGGCCTCTCTGTCTCCCTCTCCGGCCTCTCTGTCTCCCTCTCCGGCCTCTCTGTCTCCCTCTCCGGCCTCTCTGCCTCCCTCTCCGGCCTCTCTGTCTCCCTCTCCGGCCTCTCTGCCTCTCCTCTCCGGCCTCTCTGCCTCCCTCTCCGGCCTCTCTGTCTCCCTCTCCGGCCTCTCTGTCTCCCTCTCCGGCCTCTCTGTCTCCCTCTCCGGCCTCTGTCTCCCTCTCCGGCCTCTCTGTCTCCCTCTCCGGCCTCTCTGTCTCCCTCTCCGGCCTCTCTGTCTCCCTCTCCGGCCTCTCTGTCTCCCTCTCCGGCCTCTCTGTCTCCCTCTCCGGCCTCTCTGTCTCCCTCTCCGGCCTCTCTGTCCTCTCGCCTCTCTGTCTCCTCCGGCCTCTCTGTCTCCCTCTCTCCGGCCTCTCTGTCTCCCTCTCCGGCCTCTCTGTCTCCCTCTCCGGCCTCTCTGTCTCCCTCTCCGGCCTCTCTGTCTCCCTCTCCGGCCTCTCTGTCTCCCTCTCCGGCCTCTCTGTCTCCCTCTCCGGCCTCTCTGTCTCCCTCTCCGGCCTCTCTGTCTCCCTCTCCGGCCTCTCTGTCTCCCTCTCCGGCCTCTCTGTCTCCCTCTCCGGCCTCTCTGCCTCCCTCTGGTCTCTCACCTGGTCCTCGATGGTGATCTCGGTCCCCAGTGTATTGTCCGTGTTCCACTTCTCTGTGAAGGTGAGTCCATGGTCTGCCCACTTGTACTTGGTCTCCAGAGAGCCGGTGACTTTGCTGGTCTCGGTGTTTGCCGATCCGGTGCTGGTGAACTCCTGAGACACAAACAACACCGTGAGGCTGCGGCCACGTCAGCAGGTAATCCAAAAAAACAGTAATCTCGTTAGGACTCACCAGACCGTTCTCAGACTTCGTTTTCAGGTCGAGCTTAATGACACCGAATCCTGAGGAGAAACAGACACGTGAGACCAGAGAGGGACCAGAAAGAGACCAGAGAGGGACCACAGCGGGACCAGAGAGGGACCACAGAGGGACCAGAGGGAGACCAGAGAGAGACCAGAGAGTGACCAGAGAGAGACCAAAGAGAGCGAGCAGAGAGCGAGCAGAGAGAGACCAGAGAGAGACCAGAGAGACCAGAGAGAGACCAGAGACAGAGACCAGAGGGAGAGACCAGAGAGAGAGTCCAGAGAGACCAGAGAGACCAGAGAGAGACCAGAGAGAGACCAGAGAGAGACCAGAGAGAGACCAGAGAGCGAGACCAGAGAGAGACCAGAGAGCGAGACCAGAGAGAGAGACCAGAGAGAGTCCAGAGAGAGAGAGACCAGAGAGAGAGAGACCAGAGAGAGACCAGAGAGAGACCGGAGAGAGAGACCAGAGAGAGACCGGAGAGAGAGACCAGAGAGAGACCGGAGAGAGAGACCAGAGAGAGACCGGAGAGAGAGACCAGAGAGAGTCCAGAGAGAGAGAGACCAGAGAGAGACCAGAGAGAGACCAGAGGGAGAGACCAGAGAGAAACCAGAGCGAGACCAGAGCGAGACCAGAGCGAGACCAGAGGGAGAGACCAGAGGTCTCGCTCTGGTCTCGCTCTGGTTTCTCTCTGGTCTCTCCCTCTGGTCTCTCTCTGGTCTCTCTCTGGTCTCTCTCTCTCTGGACTCTCTCTGGTCTCTCTCTCCGGTCTCTCTCTGGTCTCTCCCACCAGAGAGAGACCAGAGGGAGACCAGAGGGAGACCAGAGAGTTTTGTGGTGTTTTATTGCCACAGAAGGAGCAGTCTCTCAACAATGTGCACAAAGTAAGTGTAATAAATCTAAAGCTTACATTATATTTGTTCTGCTCTAAACCAACAAGAACAAACTCCACTTTCCATATTTTTTAATTGATTTATTAAATGAGTGTTTACTGATTTTCAGACAGAGGTCATTCATAACTGGGACATGTCTGTGCCCTGGACCCGAGCATCGACCCAAAAGCCTGTCGTCCTGTCTGCGTTTCAATAAAGATGAATAGATTGTATAGTTGTGTTTAGCTCCATCCATGCTAGAATCAGGAAGTACAAACATGTAGCTCCGCCCCCTCTGTATCAGTACCAGGTCCTTCTTTAGTCCCTCTATGTTCTAGTTGAATCCGGACCGAACTGGGACTAAAGTGGTCTGCTGGTTTGTTGCTAGGATACGGTACCAGAAACTGAAGTGTGATGGAAACTCACCGAAGCCTTTGGAGAAAACATCTCTGGAGGCTTTCCCCAAGTCGACGTATGTGGGAGGAACGGCCATTTTCTGAAAGACAAATACAGTATTATGTAGATTATAGGGATGGATGATGCTAACACAGACTGTATACAGATGCTACATGCTAACACAGACTGTATACAGATGCTACATGCTAACACAGACTGTATACAGATGCTACATGCTAACACAGACTGTATACAGATGCTACATGCTAACACAGACTGTATACAGATGCTACATGCTAACACAGACTGTATACAGATGCTACATGCTAACACAGACTGTATACAGATGCTACATGCTAACACAGACTGTATACAGATGCTACATGCTAACACAGACTGTATACAGATGCTACATGCTAACACAGGCTGTATATAGATGCTACATGCTAACACAGACTGTATACAGATGCTACATGCTAACACAGACTGTATATAGATGCTACATGCTAACACAGACTGTATATAGATGCTACATGCTAACACAGACTGTATACAGATGCTACATGCTAACACAGACTGTATACAGATGCTACATGCTAACACAGACTGTATACAGATGCTACATGCTAACACAGACTGTATACAGATGAAGATAGAGGCCAAGAAACCAAGACCAGAGAGACCAAGAAAGAGACCAGAGAGACACCGGATTAAAAAAATCTGTACCACCCAGAGGTAAATCCTTTGAGATTATGAAATGTGGTTCTTTGCTTTTTGCGCTGGTTCTGTTTGTCGTGTTGCTAAAGCAGGATTCCGATCATTGTCCTTCAGAGTCTTACCCAACGACGTTTGGAGAGAGTTAAGAAAGCTGCGCAAACACCAGAGAGAGTGAACTGCCTTCTCACCACACTGACTCACACTCGCCGACACACACACACTCGCCGACACACACACACTCGCCGACACACACACACAGCTGCCAAAATCCACTTTCCAGAGAGATGTCTTTACTTTCCAAAATAATCATTGAACATGTTTTGTCAAGTTCACAAATCGACGAACCGCGATAATTATCAAGAATGTTCAAGTATCAATGCTAAAAAGATGTGAGCAAGACTAAATATACATGTAACAGACCAGAGAGAGACCAGAGAGAGACCAGAGAGAGCCCAGAGAGAGCCCAGAGAGAGAGACCAGAGAGAGACCAGAGAGAGACCAGAGAGAGACCAGAGAGAGACCAGAGAGAGACCAGAGAGAGACCAGAGAGAGACCAGAGAGAGACCAGAGAGAGACCAGAGAGAGACAGAGTGAGACCAGAGAGAGACCAGAGAGAGCCCAGAGAGAGACCAGAGAGAGACCAGAGAGAGACCAGAGAGAGACCAGAGAGAGACCAGAGACAGACCAGAGAGAGACCAGAGAGAGACCAGAGAGAGACCAGAGAGAGACAGAGTGAGACCAGAGAGAGACCAGAGAGAGAGAGAGCTGTGTGCTAGTCTTACAGCTGTATACCAGTTTTAAAGGTGGGGAAGCTAATGTTTATGTTTAATAATAACATTTTGCAGTTTGTAATGAGACCAGAGAGACACACACACACACAGAGAGAGAGAAAGAGCAAGAGAGACACTCGAAACACAAAAAAAAAATCTATAATAGAGATAGTCAACAATGAATTCCATGGTCGACTATTGTCGCCAGACGTGTTTTTCCAACAATGAGGCCGTGGCCCCGACTCCACCGGCTGCATTAAACGTGCTACACACAGCCAGAGCTGCTGCAGCCGGTGTGGCCCCTGTTCCGTTTTAGAGACGCGGCCGGTAGAGTCCTGGCCTGAGAGTCGCACATGAGGAAGAGTCTGTCGAGCGGTGACGGACACAGAAATGGCGGCGTTCAACATATTAGCTGCAAAGTAGCCCTTCACAGGAGTATCTTGGTGATGCACCAACATTTAAAGAGAAAGCACGTCGGGCAGTTGAACAATCCAGTAACATTCAAGACAATGGGCCTCATTCACGAATAACTTCGTAAGAAACTACTCAACTTTCTTCTCAAGTTGTCCTTAAGTAGATTTCTAGGAAGTCCCCACGTGGGATTCATCAACGCACTCGTAAGCCGCTGAATTGTTCGCAGCTGATCTCTCAGATTGATGAATCCCATTTCCTCGTAAATACAGCGCGCGTGCCCGGTGCTTCATTACCATAGGTACTTAGCATAAGTAACCGCCCACTAATGCCCATATAAGGGACTGCAGGGCCGTGTGCAGACGCCAGAGGAAACAGCAACAGGCCTAAAGCAGGCTTTTGCCAGACTGAGAATAAAGTTATAAAATGTTGACTTAAAAGTCGAAATATTATGATAATAAAGTCGAACTAGCAAGATTATGAGATTAATCTAAGAATATGATGAGATTAATCTCAAAATGTTATGAGCTTAATTTAAAAATATATTATGTATTATTTTAAAGATGAATCTCAAAATGTTTTGAGATTAATCTCAAAATATTTTGGACCCTGGGAGGAGTTCCAGCGCGGACCAGCGCTGAGACCAATGCAGACCCGAGGAGAGACTGGAGTGACCAGCACACAGAAACCAGCGCGGACCTATAGGAGAGACCGCATAGACTGGAGTGACCTGACTGGAGAGACCGGTGCGCAGAGACCAGCGCGGACCGAAGAGAGACCGCATAGACCAGACTTGAGAGACCAGCGCGGAGTCGGACCCGTATGGATCCAGGAGCATGCAGCACGGACCCGTATGGAGAGAGACCAGTGCAGACCCGTATATGGGAGAGACCAGTGCAGACCCGTATAGATCCATGGGAGAGACCAGTGCAGATAGATCCATGGGAGACACCAGCGCAGACCCGTATAGATCCATGGGAGAGACCAGTGCAGACCCGTATAGATCCATGGGAGAGACCAGTGCAGACCAGTATAGATCCATAGGAGAGACCAGTGCAGACCCGTATAGATCCATAGGAGAGACCAGTGCAGACCCGTATAGATCCATGGGAGAGACCAGTGCAGACCCGTATAGATCCATGGGAGAGACCAGCGCAGAGACTCAGCGCGGACCCCGCAGCCTCCTGCAGCAGCAGTATATATGCCGTTGTTCTGTGGCCCGTGGATAAAGAAATGCCCCCTATAAATAGGAAGGGGTCACTAATACACGGCAAGATTTCCAATGTATTTGATAAAGCGTTGGCACATTTCATTTCAAAATGAATTAAAAAGTAGGCCAGATCTGCAGTGAAAAAGGCGGTATATAAATAACGATTACTAATAAAGATTAATACAAATAAATAAATACATACATCGATATGACGGACATATCACTGGAATGTTGTATTTTTATTCAACTTCACCAAAGAGGACAACCCCGGCGTGTGAACATGTCGGCACTGAATGCGTACGAGTGCTCCTGAGGACTCGTAGGATTTGTACTTGCCCAAGAGAAATTCTGGTTACGAGAAATATTCGTGAATGCCACTTTCTTCGTAAAAACCGCGTAAGTAGGATTTACGTACAAATCTGTTCCTAAGAACCGTTCGTGAATGAGGCCCAATGTTTTGTTTTTAAGTTATGACAATACCTACTTTAAATTAAATGCAACTTCATGCTAAATTTAAGAAAACATGAATAATTATCCAATTAGTCGACAAATGGTTTCAATAGTCGTGACTAGTCGAGTATTAAAATAGTCATTAGTTTCAGCCACAGAGAGACAAACACACCCTGCGGCTGTAACCGTCAGGGCCCATTACTGCAGGAGGCTCCACCTTCAGCCACAAGGACACACACACACACACACAGAAACACACACACACACACACAAGGACACACACACACACACAGATACACACACACATAAGGACACACACACACACACACACACACACACAAGGACACACACACACACTCACAAGGACACACACCCGTTCTAAAAAGGCCTCAGCACTTCTGCAGACTGACAGCGTGACGAACAGTTGTTGACGTGTAAACAGCAGTGAGGACAGAAACCTGAGGATCCAGTCTGAGGTCTGGATCCAGTCTGAGGTCTGGATCCAGTCTGAGGTTTGAAAGTTCCAGTCCTGGATCTGAGTCTAGTTTTAATGAGATTTGATTAACATACATTTGTGTGTGTGGTGTCAAAATGTTCAGTGTGTGTTATAGGTGACAGCTGAAGGTCACTTGCACACACCAGAGAGAGACCAGAGAGAGAGACCAGAGAGAGAGACCAGAGAGGGACCAGAGAGGGACCAGAGAGGGACCAGAGAGAGACCAGAGAGAGACCAGAGAGGGACCAGAGAGGGACCAGAGAGAGACCAGAGAGGGACCAGAGAGAGACCAGAGAGAGACCAGAGAGAGACCAGAGAGGGACCAGAGAGGGACCAGAGAGAGACCAGAGAGGGACCAGAGAGAGACCAGAGAGAGACCAGAGAGACCAGAGAGAGACCAGAGAGAGACCAGAGAGAGAGAGCAGAGAGAGACCAGAGAGAGACCAGAGAGAGAGAGCAGAGAGGGACCAGAGAGGGACCAGAGAGAGACCAGAGAGAGACCAGAGAGAGACCAGAGAGAGACCAGAGAGAGACCAGAGAGAGAGAGCAGAGAGGGACCAGAGAGGGACCAGAGAGAGACCAGAGAGAGACCAGAGAGAGAGAGCAGAGAGAGACCAGAGAGAGACCAGAGAGAGGGACCAGAGAGAGACCAGAGAGAGAGAGCAGAGAGAGACCAGAGAGAGACCAGAGAGAGACCAGAGAGAGACCAGAGAGGGACCAGAGAGAGACCAGAGAGAGACCAGAGAGAGACCAGAGAGAGACCAGAGAGAGACCAGAGAGAGAGAGCAGAGAGAGACCAGAGAGAGACCAGAGAGAGAGAGCAGAGAGGGACCAGAGAGGGACCAGAGAGAGACCAGAGAGGGACCAGAGAGAGACCAGAGAGAGACCAGAGAGAGACCAGAGAGAGACCAGAGAGGGACCAGAGAGAGACCAGAGAGAGAGACCAGAGAGAGAGACCAGAGAGAGACCAGAGAGAGACCAGAGAGAGAGAGCAGAGAGAGACCAGAGAGGGACCAGAGAGAGACCAGAGAGGGACCAGAGAGAGACCAGAGAGAGACCAGAGAGAGACCAGAGAGAGACCAGAGAGGGACCAGAGAGGGACCAGAGAGGGACCAGAGAGAGACCAGAGAGAGAGACCAGAGAGAGAGACCAGAGAGAGACCAGAGAGAGAGAGCAGAGAGAGACCAGAGAGAGACCAGAGAGAGACCAGAGACCGGACAGAGAGACCAGAGACCGGACAGAGAGACCAGAGACCGGACAGAGAGACCAGAGACCGGACAGAGAGACCAGAGACCGGACAGAGAGGGAGACCAAAACTCCAGTAACAGCACCAGAGCTGGAGGATGTCACCTGTTGTGCATGTTTTGAAATCGGAGCACCAGGAGGAAAACAACGTGCAACATGAACAGAACATGCAAACTCCACACAGAAAGATCCCGTTCCGACCAGGATCCAAACCCAGGACCTGTTTAACTGAGAAGCGAGAAAGCTGACACCCCCAATAACACTGTAGCACTGTTCTTAGCTAGCTAGATTCAGTGTAAACTCTGCTGAATACAAAGAATATTCTCAGTTTTAATCTTAAATTAAGCATAAATAAAGTGTAATCAAACCACAACATTGTCTATCCACTTTGTATACCGTGACATGGGGCTACTAAAGCATTAAACAATAAAAAACATCAATACATACTCACAATTATCATCAGACATTACAGCTACAAGTTTATGTTTTGATGCGAATAATACAAATACATAAGTTGTATATATAAAAAAAAACTAAACTAGGTAAAATGTTATATAAGAAGCAGGGAGTCACTATACACACAAAGTAATAAAAACTAAATTATTTCTACATTCTTGAGCCGGGGGCAGATGTGACCCTGGGGGGGATCCACGTTGGATAGAGGGCAGTGGGCAGCATCCCGTTAGCATTAGCCTCCAGTTTAAACAGTGTTAGCCGTTAGCATTAGCAGCGCTTAGCTTCCCTGGCAGCTGGAAGACAGGTAGCCAACAGATTAAACCCATGTGCAGGTGTCACGCTAAGACCTTTGACAAGAAGCGGGTGGTGGTAAATCTCTGGATGGCTGCACGCTAAAGGAGTTAGCCGCTAATGCTAACAGCTGCGGTGGGCCTGGCATGCAATAATGTGCGTTGGAGCTAGCGTGATAGCAGCTCGTGACGATATGGGAACTGCGGCGGCCATCTTGTGATTGTAAGGTCGGCGAAAGTTAAAGGAAATATATATCATAACGCTAATTATTAGTAATGAGTGGTTGTGTGAAGCCATCATATCATACAGATATCTATCCAAAGAAATACAATTAAATGATAGCTCTTGTGATCAATTGGTTTACTAAAAATAGGTAGGTATTAAAATGTTATAAACAAGTTTACTGACCTGATGCAAACTGTACTTTAACAACTACACAACAATGATTTAATGGAGAATAAACTTACTCAGCTGTATTGCTCCAAATATTCTAATATTAGCAGTTTTCTCTCTTCCTCACTCTGGTGTCTCTCACTCGCTTTGACCTCTCACCTCCTTATCCTCTGGTCTATCACCCACGGTCTATCACCCACTTTCCCTCTCTGGTCTCTCTCCCTCTCTGGTCTCACATTCTCTTCCTCTGGTCTCTCTCTCCCTCTCTGGTATCTCTCTCTCTGGTCTCTCCCTCTCTGGTCTCTCCCTCTCTGGTCTCTCCCTCTCTGGTCTCTCCCTCTCTGGTCTCTCTCCCTCCCTGGTCTCTCCCTCTCTGGTCTCTCCCTCTCTGGTCTCTCTCCCTCCCTGGTCTCTCTCCCTCTCTGGTCTCTCTCCCTCTCTGGTCTCTCTCCCTCTCTGGTCTCTCTCCCTCTCTGGTCTCTCTCTCTCTCTCTCTCTCTGGTCTCTCTCTCTCTCTCTCTGGTCTCTCCCTCTCTCTGGTCTCTCCCTCTCTCTGGTCTCTCCCTCTCTCTGGTCTCTCCCTCTCTCTGGTCTCTCCCTCTCTCTCTGGTCTCTGTCGCTAATACAGTCCCAAGATGGCGGCCTGAGCTTCCACAGTGATCTAGCCTTTAGCCACAGTCTCCTCCAGCATCAGCTCCCAGACCGGGTCTAACTCACATAATGCACCCGGGACACGAGCCCTCCCACGAGGTAGGAGCAGCGCGCAGGGCCGCTGTGAGGAGCCCAGAGGTGGTGGAGGAGAGGCGGCCTACGTACCTGCAGAGACCCGGGGTTTAGTGCAGCGAGATGGCGAGATGTCAGTGCGCCTGGAGAATGGAGGAGAGAGGACACCAGCGGGGCGCCAGGTTCACAAACAGAACACAGCATACGGGGAAAAGAAAAAACACACGATCGGAGAAAAATAATTAATCCATTTTAGATATTCATTGGTCTCAAACAAAGTGAGGGCTATATTCGTGTTTGAGAGTGTTCCATCTTTGATTTAGTGAAAATACAATTCAATATATTTGATTCTCACCCATAGATTGTCACAGAACCAGTCTTGGAGGACCTTACAAAGTTGCGGATTTACCAACAACAGATACAACATAGGAGCCATTGGTCCATAGGGATCGAGATGACCACTGTCCAGGAGAGAGTCCAGAGAGAGTCCAGAGAGAGACCAGAGAGAGACCAGAGAGAGACACCAGAAAGAGACCAGAGAGAGAGACCAGAGAGAGACAAGGTACGACTCTTTTTGACATTTTCAAAAAGCCTCAGTCCTGGGTTTCTCCGTGGTTCCGCTCTGATTTTTATTCTTTATTTTTTATTTGGTTTAAACTTTATATTTCTTTAGGCTCCAGGTTTTATAAATGCTGAGTTATGGAAGTTTTGCTGAAACCCTAAACAAAAGAGCCCAAAGTGGCTTTAAAGATACAGATTTGGCAACACAGAACGCTCCGCATAACGTCACACACAAGCCCTCCCAGGAATTCCAAAGACACGGCGCACGTGACAGGAAAAAAATATTTATAAAATGTTTTTTATATAATATTCAGAAATAAAAAAAACAGAGAACTTCTGTTATTTCTACTGTTTGATATTTCTCTAATTTGTTCAAACATAAATAATGCATTTGCCCAAAAATAAACATATCAGACCAAAATGCCTCTTCATCCCTGTGAGTCACTATCTGACTCTTTGGGCTGAGAGCTGATTGGCTAAGAGAGGGAGGTCCTCTCTTTGACAGTTTTTTGTCTGAAAAAGCTGGTCTGAAGTGACAGTGGACACTCACAGGTGATAAACGAAAACTGTGGCCACAGCTGCCCTGGGGCACACTGACAGAAGAGAGGCAACCCGTCTGTGCCATTGGCCCCTCCCAACACCATCAACCATTCACACACACACCAGACTCATTTCTAATGTGGGCTAAGTGTCTTGCCTAAGGACACCAGCACTGTGGCACCTGGTGTTTCCAGAGGTCTCCCATCACAACACTAAGCATGCCTTCCCCTGCTTAGCTTCAGAGGTCTGACAAGATCCAGCTTTGACCTGCAGGTGGGTGTGGTGAGAGAGCTCGGATGCTCCATAACAATCAGAAATCATCGCTCTTTGGGATGAGATCATGTCACATGAACACACACCTATACCTTCAATACTGCAGTGTACCGTTTGTACCACCAGAGGGCGGCAGAGCCTCACGGATCAGCCTCGGTCTCTCTTATACGCACACATATACACTTACATAAAGACACACACACACACGCACACACACACATTGTTTTTCTCTCTCTCTAAAGTAAATATATAATATACAGTTATCGTGTCTGACAGCCTCCTCTCACACAGGAACAACTACAGAAAAACCCGACTGGAGAAGTGTCAGACTGTACACAGAGTAGTGGGGGTGGAATGGCGCCTTGCTTGACACCCAAGGTCGCCTACGCTAAAGTAAAATGCACTCTTAAAAACAATAAAATACAAAGTTAAACGCAGCAGAGGACGGTGTAGCTGTGGCTTGGATCTGGACTTAAACAGCCTTGATCTTTCAGCAGGGGCTTCAGGCAAAGTGGGGTTCAGTGCCCAACGACAGCAGACATCAGTGGGGGTCGGTGGAGAAGGTCTTGAGGTGGAGTCGAACCCACAACCTTCAGGCTCAGAAGCCAAAGTGGAGACAGTGGATGTGGAGCGGAGACTGAACATGTACTATTTCCTATACTGTACATTTCTGGCCAGTGGTTTCTTTGGTCTCTCTCTGGTCTCTCTCTGGTCTCTCTCTCTGGTCTCTCTCTGGTCTCTCTCTGGTCTCTCTCTGGTCTCTCTCTGGTCTCTCTCTGGTCTCTCTCTGGTCTCTCCTCCTCTCTCTCTGGTCTCTCTCCTCTCTCTCTCTCTGGTCTCCTTCTGGTCTCTCCTCCTCTCTCTCTGGTCTCTCTCCTCTCTCTCTGGTCTCTCTCTGGTCCCTCTCTGGTCTCACCCTGGTCTCTCTCTGGTCTCTCTCTGGTCTCTCTCTCTGGTCATTCTCTCCTCTCTCTCTCTGGTCCCTCTCTGGTCTCTCTCTGGTCTCTCCTCCTCTCTCTCTGGTCTCTCCTCCTCTCTCTCTGGTCTCTCTCCTCTCTCTCTCTCTGGTCTCCTTCTGGTCTCTCCTCCTCTCTCTCTGGTCTCTCTCCTCTCTCTCTGATCTCCTTCTGGTCCCTTGTTATAAGACTGTATAAACCACAGTGAAGTTTATTGACATTGTGTTAATTGTTGGAGTCATTAAAATGTGGTGTTTTTTCCTGCGGCGAAAGCTTTTCACTGCTGCCATTTATCACCTGCTACACAGAGACCAGAGCGAGACCAGAGAGGGACCAGAGAGAGACCAGAGAGGGACCAGAGAGGGACCAGAGAGACCAGAGAGAGAGACCAGAGAGAGAGACCAGAGAGACCAGAGAAAGACCAGAGAGAGACCAGAGAGAGACCAGAGAGAGACCAGAGAGAGACCAGAAAGAGACCATAGAGAGACCAGAGAGAGACCAGAGAGAAACCAGAGAGAGACCAGAGAGAGACCAGAAAGAGACCATAGAGAGACCAGAGAGAGACCAGAGAGAGACCAGAGAGAGACCAGAGGGACACCAGAGAGGGACTAGAGAGAGACCAGAGAGAGACCAGAGAGAGAGACCAGAGAGAGACCAGAGAGAGACCAGAGAGAGACCATAAATACATGATTATAAAACTCTAAGGATTATAGAGATTAATTTTTATCACAGAATTATTTTGTTGTGGTTTGAAAGTTACGGGCCTCAACTTTAAGATCCTAAAACTTCTGCAATACGTTTATAATCCTTCAGCTCGAATTTATCAGTGTCTCGGTCTCGTACCGGTCCCAGCGCTCGCAGAGGTCACGGCCTCGATGTGGATAAGCCGCGTGAGGAAGAGTCTTATCTCAGAACCACAGTCTTCATCACCTCAGACCTCACAGACCAGACCGAGACCGAGGCCGGGCTTATACTCTCTATCAGATACTGGAGCAGAGAGAGACCACAGGGAGAGCAGAGGGAGACCGGAGAGAGACCAGAGGGAGACCGGAGAGAGACCAGAGAGACCAGAGGGAGACCAGAGAGAGACCAGAGAGAGACCAGAGAGACCAGAGGGAGACCGGAGAAAGACCAGAGAGACCAGAGGGAGACCAGAGAGAGACCAGAGAGAGACCACAGGGAGAGCAGAGGGAGACCGGAGAGAGAGACCAGAGAGAGACCAGAGGGGGACCAGTCAGGGACCAGGGCTAAACCAGAGAGAGACCAGTTGAGGGACCAGGGTCTCTCTCTGGTCTCTAGTCTCTGTGGTCTCTGGTCTCTCTAGTCTTTCTCTGGTCTCCCTCTGGTCTCCCTCTAGTCTCTCTGGTCTCTCTGGTCTCTCTAGTCTTTCTCTGGTCTCCCTCTGGTCTCCCTCTAGTCTTTCTGGTCTCCCTCTGGTCTCTCTGGTCTCTCTCTAGTCTCTCTGGTCTCTTTGGTTTCCCTCTGGTCTCTCTCTGGTCTCTCTCTAGTCTCTCTGGTCTCTCTGGTTTCTCTCTGGTCTCTCTCTGGTCTCCCTCTCTGTTCTCTCTCTGGTCTCTCTGGTCTCCCTCTGGTCTCTCTGGTCTCCCTCTGGTCTTCCTGGTAGCATCTGCTGGTCTGTGTTGATACTGAACCTCTGGGAGTTGGACATTTCCAAAAAATGGCTCCAGATTATGGACTTTGAAGTCGGTTATGGAGGTCATCTGTCGCTGCATCCCAATTAAACACAAGGTTTTTAATCATGACTGTAACAGATGGACAATGCTAACCCGCTACATGCTAGCTCAATGAAACCCAATAGGGAAGTGCTCATGGTGAAGTTTGGCTCCATCTCTCTGGCTCCTATTGACTTACATGGAAAAGTAAACTCCTACAACTCAGTAACTATTTGTGTCACAGACCAGAGAGAGACCAGAGAGAGACCAGAGAGGGACCAGAGAGGGACCAGATAGAGACCAGAGAGAGACCAGAGAGGGACCAGAGAGAGACCAGAGAGAGACCAGAGAGGGACCAGAGAGAGACCAGAGAGACCAGAGACAGACCAGAGAGAGACCAGAGAGAGACCAGAGAGGGACCAGAGAGAGACCAGAGAGAGACCAGATAGAGACCAGAGAGGGACCAGAGAGAGACCAGGGAGAGACCAGAGAACGACTAGAGAGAGACCAGAGAGAGACCAGAGATGGACCTGAGAGAGACCAGAGAGAGAGACCAAAGAGAGACCAGAGAGAGAGACCAGAGAGGGACCTGAGAGAGACCAGAGAGAGACCAGAGAGGGACCAGAGAGAGACCAGAGAGAGACCAGAGAGGGACCAGAGAGAGACCAGAGAGACCAGAGACAGACCAGAGAGAGACCAGAGAGAGACCAGAGAGAGACCAGAGAGAGACCAGAGAGGGACCAGAGAGAGACCAGAGAGACCAGAGACAGACCAGAGAGAGACCAGAGAGAGACCAGAGAGGGACCAGAGAGAGACCAGAGAGAGACCAGATAGAGACCAGAGAGGGACCAGAGAGAGACCAGGGAGAGACCAGAGAACGACTAGAGAGAGACCAGAGAGAGACCAGAGATGGACCTGAGAGAGACCAGAGAGAGAGACCAAAGAGAGACCAGAGAGAGAGACCAGAGAGGGACCTGAGAGAGACCAGAGAGAGACCAGAGAGAGACCAGAGAGAGACCAGAGAGGGACCTGAGAGAGACCAGAGAGAGACCAGAGAGAGACCAGAGAGAGACCAGAGAGAGACCAGAGAGAGACACCAGAGAGAGACCAGAGAGAGAGACCAGAGAGAGACCAGAGAGAGAGACCAGAGAGAGACCAGAGAGGGACCAGAGAGAGACCAGAGAGACCAGAGACAGACCAGAGAGAGACCAGAGAGAGACCAGAGAGGGACCAGAGAGAGACCAGAGAGAGACCAGAGAGAGACCAGAGAGGGACCAGAGAGAGACCAGGGAGAGACCAGAGAACGACTAGAGAGAGACCAGAGAGAGACCAGAGAGAGACCAGAGAGGGACCTGAGAGAGACCAGAGAGAGAGACCAAAGAGAGACCAGAGAGAGAGACCAGAGAGGGACCTGAGAGAGACCAGAGAGAGACCAGAGAGAGACCAGAGAGAGACCAGAGAGAGACCAGAGAGGGACCTGAGAGAGACCAGAGAGAGAGACCAGAGAGAGACCAGAGAGAGAGACCAGAGAGGGACCTGAGAGAGACCAGAGAGAGACCAGAGAGAGACCAGAGAGAGACCAGAGAGACACCAGAGAGAGACCAGAGAGAGACCAGAGAGAGACCAGAGAGAGACCAGAGAGAGACACCAGATAGAGACCAGAGAGAGACCAGAGAGAGACACCAGAGAGAGACCAGAGAGAGAGACCAGAGAGAGACCAGAGAGAGAGACCAGAGAGGGACCAGAGAGGGACTATACGTAGACCATGGGGAGAGAGTATACCATCATTATAATAGATGTTTTGTTTATTCCTGTCGCTGGTCTCATGGTTCCGTCGTGACTAAACCAAAGTTAGCTCCTCAGGATCACGCTTCACACGGATCAGAGAAAATCCTGTTAAAATGTTATTGCACCGAGACGTCAGACTTTAAAGCAGCTCTGTGTAAATCTGTGACATGTTAGTGACATATGAACCGAGGAGCACAGGGACTGGCCTCCTGCTGGGACTCTGAGGAGCACAGGGACTGGCCTCCTGCTGGTCCCAGGACTCAGAAGTCAGGACTAAACATGCACGTTTCAGATTTATGCTGCTAAAATCTGGAATCCATGGCCTCTCTGGTCTCTCTCTGGTCTCTCTCTGGTCCCTCTCTCTGGTCTCTCTCTGGTCTCTCTCTGGTCTCTCTCTGGTCTCTCTCTGGTCTCTCTCTGGTCTCTCTCTGGTCTCTCTCTGATCTCTTTCTGGTCTCTCTCTCTGGTCTCTCTCTGGTCTCTCTCTGATCTTTCTCTGGTCTCTCTCTGGTCTCTCTCTGGTCTCTCTCTGGTCTCTCTCTGGTCTTTATCTGGTCTCTCTCTGGTCTAATATAAACAGGAATACAGTAAATGACAAGGAAATGTGTGTGTGTGTGTGACTGTGTCTGTGTGTGTGTGTGTGTGTGTGAGTCTGTGTGTGTGTGTGAGTCTGTGTGTCTGTGTGTGTGTGTCTGTGTGTGTGAGTCTGTGTGTGTGTGTGTCTGTGTGTGTGTGTGAGTGTGTGTGTCTGAGTCTGTGTGTCTGTGTGTGTGTGTCTGTGTGTGTGAGTCTGTGTGTGTGTGTGTCTGTGTGTGTGTGTGTGTGTGTGTCTGTTCCAGCTGTTGTGTGTCTCTTCCGTCTCTGTGTGGGGACCATCTGTAGCCGTTGTTCCAGGACCAGTTTTTACGCCGCACTGGACTCGAGCTAAACCTCCTCACACCAGGAGACCATCTACCAGAAGAGCCTTAACTAAAAATGTTTCCACCAACTCTGCTCTCCCCTGGTCTCTCTCTGGTCTCTCTCTGGTCTCTCTCTGGTCTCTCTCTGGTCTCTCTCTGGTCTCTCTTTGGTCTCTCTCTGGTCTCTCTCTGGTCTCTCTCTGGTCTCTCTTTGGTCTCTCTCTGGTCTCTCTCTGGCCTCTCTCTGGTCTCTCTCTGGTCTCTCTCCCTGGTCTCTCTCTGGTCTCTCTCTGGCTCTCTCTGGTCTCTCTTTGGTCTCTCTCTGGTCTCTCTCTGTTCTCCCTCTGGTCTCTCTCTGGTCTCTCTCTGGTCTCTCTGCTCTCTCTCTGGTCTCATCTCTGGTCTCTTTGGTCCTCCTGGACTCTCATTGGTCTCTCTCCCTGTCTCTCTCTGTTCTCCCCTCTGGTCTCTCTCTGGTCTCTCTCTGGTCTCTCTCCCTGGTCTCTCTCTGTTTCTCCCTCTGGTCTCTCTCTGGTCTCTCTCTGGTCTCTCTCTGTTCTCCTCTGGTCTCTCTCTGGTCTCTCTCTGGTCTCTCTCTGGTCTCTCTCTGGTCTCTCTCTGGTCTCTCTCTGGTCTCTCTCTGGTCTCTCTCTGGTCTCTCTCTCTGCTCTCTCTCTGGTCTCTCTCTGGTCTCTCTCTGGTCTCTCTCTCTGCTCTCTCTCTGGTCTCTCTCTGCTCTCTCTCTGGTCTCTCTCTGCTCTCTCTCTGGTCTCTCTCTGGTCTCTCTCTGGTCTCTCTCTGGTCTCTCTCTCTGCTCTCTCTCTGGTCTCTCTCTGGTCTCTCTCTTCAGATTCCACAGTCATAATTATCACTGATTCTTCCAAACACATTTAATTGCCTCAGTCTCACCTCTGCTCCAATTTAGACCTCGTTTACACTTTTCCATCATCGCAGAAACCAAAGAAACTTTAATTAAAATGTTGTAATTACTTCAGTGTTTTTCAGTTTTGAAGCAGCATTTTGAAAACACCACAGAAATCATGACGAAAGCTGTATACAGATGCTCTGGTCTCTCTCTGGTCTCCCTCTGGTCTCTCTCTGGTCTCCCTCTGGTCCCTCTCTGGTCTCTCTCTGGTCTCTTTCTGGTCTCTCTCTGGTCTCTCTCTGGTCTCTCTCTGGTCCCTCTCTGGGCTCCCTCTGGTCCCTCTCTGGTCTCTCTCTGGTCCCTCTCTGGTCCCTCTCTGGTCTCTCTCTGGTCCCTCTCTGGTCTCTCTCTGGTCTCTCTCTGGTCCCTCTCTGGTCACTCTCTGGTCCCTCTCTGGTCTCTCTCTGGTCTCTTTCTGGTCTCTCTCTGGTCTCTCTCTGGTCTCTCTCTGGTCCCTCTCTGGGCTCCCTCTGGTCCCTCTCTGGTCTCTCTCTGGTCCCTCTCTCGTCTCCCTCTAGTCCCTCTCTGGTCTCTCTCTGGTCCCTCTCTGGTCTCTCTCTGGTCTCTCTCTGGTCCCTCTCTCGTCTCCCTCTAGTCCCTCTCTGGTCTCTCTCTGGTCCCTCTCTCGTCTCCCTCTAGTCCCTCTCTGGTCTCTCTCTGGTCCCTCTCTGGTCTCTCTCTGGTCTCTCTCTGGTCTCTCTCTGGTCCCTCTCTCGTCTCCCTCTAGTCCCTCTCTGGTCTCTCTCTGGTCTCTCTCTGGTCCCTCTCTGGTCTCTCTCTGGTCTCTCTCTGGTCTCTCTCTGGTCTCTCTCTGGTCCCTCTCTGGTCTCTCTCTGGTCTCTCTCTGGTCTCTCTCTGGTCCCTCTCTGGTCTCTCTCTGGTCCCTCTCTGGTCTCTCTCTGGTCTCTCTCTGGTCTCTCTCTGGTCCCTCTCTGGTCCCTCTCTGGTCTCCCTCTAGTCCCTCTCTGGTCTCTCTCTGGTCTCTCTCTGGTCTCTCTCTGGTCTCTCTCTGGTCCCTCTCTGGTCTCTCTCTGGTCTCTCTCTGGTCTCTCTCTGGTCCCTCTCTGGTCCCTCTCTGGTCCCTCTCTGGTCCCTCTCTGGTCTCCCTCTGGTCCCTCTCTGGTCTCCCTCTAGTCCCTCTCTGGTCTGATTCGTGATGTTTGGATGAAGCTAAAAACAACTCACTAATCTCCGTCGTGTAAAAAAAACTTTATGCTAATTCTCCTCAAACTTTATCGTCTTCGCACAAAGCCGGAGATAGAAACCCCTCTTTGAAGACCTCCCATTGCGGCAACAGATCCCACACACGCCTTTTTATGGAAGTAAATTCACTTTGGTGGAGTTTGCATAATCCCACGATGCCTTAAGACCATGAAAGCACCGTCTTCCCGCGGTTTGACACCAGATTTGGTTAATCTGTGGTGCGGAGGACGTGTAAACAGTTCTGGATCCGGCTTTGTCTCCGGGAGAGCTCTGCGCCGCACGCCTGTCGCGCTACGTTCATCTGAGGGACGGGGGAACCTTCAGACGGGAACCTTCTGGAGATGCAGCTTGTTGCAGGGGGAGGGCTGATAGAGTGGCACTGCTGTCACTCACAAGTGGGGGGGGGGGGGGGACAACTTTTGGACCATCCTGTAAAGACGTTTTCCAGAGGTCTGCTAATGCTATATGTTAGCATTGGCTAATTCCTTTTCCGGGTCCACCCCCACAGGCCCGGGGTGGTATTGCAGCATGTCAGCGCACGTCATTTTGGCCACTTTTGAGCCGGGACCCGCCCACACTGGTTTTGACCCAAAGGCAGTGTAAGGGTGGACACTGCTAACACAGACTGTATACGGAGGGACAGAGCTAACACGCTAGGTCAACAGGGAAGTGCTCATGGTGAAGTTTTGCTCCAACTCACTCCTTGGCTCCTACACAGTTTGTGTTACACTCACCATTTTGGGTTTAAAGAGAGAGACCAGAGAGAGACCAGAGAGACACCAGAGAGAGAGACCAGAGAGAGACCAGAGAGAGACCAGAGAGAGAGAGAGAGAGAGACCAGAGAGAGAGAGAGAGAGAGACCAGAGAGAGAGAGAGAGAGAGACCAGAGAGAGACCAGAGAGAGACCAGAGAGAGACCAGAGAGAGAGACCAGAGAGAGAGAGAGAGAGACCAGAGAGAGAGACCAGAGAGAGAGAGAGAGAGAGACCAGAGAGAGAGAGAGAGAGACCAGAGAGAGACCAGAGAGAGAGACCAGAGAGAGACCAGAGAGAGACCAGAGAGAGAGACCAGAGAGAGAGAGAGAGAGACCAAAGAGAGAGAGAGAGACCAGAGAGAGAGAGAGAGAGAGACCAGAGAGAGAGAGAGAGACCAGAGAGAGAGAGAGAGACCAGAGAGAGAGAGAGAGACCAGAGACACTCCATTCACTCAAAAAGGTGAATGTACTAAAAGTGAAAGTTACGTATTTAACTACGGTTCTATGAATCCCGGGTGATTGCCAAATGTTTTTCTCTTGTCTCTTGCTCAAAAACAGAGGTTTCCCTGAAGCTGCTGTCTCTGGGTCCAGCTCAGTCCACGTTTACGAGCCAGAGCTATGGAGGCCCACAGGACACACACACACACACACGCGCACACTCACAGTGACAGATACACAGCCACACACACACACAGAGACATACACACACACACACACGCACACACACAGTGACAGATACACACACACACAGATACACACACACAGAGACATACACACACACACACACACACATACATACACACACACACACACACACACAGATACACACACACACACACACACACACAGATACATACACACACACACACACAGATACACACACACACACACACACGTATGTGTCCAGTGAGGTTTGTTTTATTTTAGTTTTAAAGATGATTTGCTTCTCTCGACTGTTCACTACCCACTGTGTCTAATGCACTGCACTAAGTGGGTATACACACAAAACAATGTTAACATTAAATAAACAACATGTTTGGGTAAAAATGGCAGTGACAACAGGACCTAAGAACATCACTGGTGTTTAATCAGCCTTTCAGATGACTATTTATGGAGACGAGTGTCAGTGATCTATGACATCATTTGAACTCCTGTAAAGGGTTTGGAAACATAAGTTTCACTTCTACCTTCTCCTTTTCCAATTATGTCTTTATATGTTTCTTCTTTTTTGTCTTTTGCACAATTCATTCAAAATAAACACTACTACTACTATTGAAGGTCCTGCTCCTGCTGTCTGCTAATCCTTAAACTCTTTCACTCTGAAAAAAATGTGTTCTACTCTACTCTACCCTACCCTACCCTACTCTACCCTACCCTACCCTACTCTACTCTACTCTACCCTACTCTACTCTACTCTACCCTACCCTACTCTACCCTACCCTACCCTACCCTACCCTACTCTACTCTACTCTACTCTACTCTACTCTACTCTACTCTACTCTACTCTACTCTACTCTACTCTACTCTACTCTACTCTACTCTACTCTACACTACACTACACTACACTACACTACACTACACTACACTACACTACACTACACTACACTACTCTACTCTACTCTACTCCTCTCTACTCTACTCTACCCTACTCTACCCTACTCTACTCTGGGTAGAGTAGGGTAGAGTAGAGTAGGGTAGCGGGTTCGAATCCCGGTCGGAATAGGGCCTTTCTGAGTGGAGTTTGCATGTTCTCCCTGTGTCTGCGTAGGTTTCCTCCGTGTGCTCCGGTTTCCTCCAGGTGCTCCGGTTTCCCCTGCCACTAAATACATGCACAATAGGTCTGAATGTGAATGAGAGAGTGAATGGAGGGTGTTTGGTCAGAGGCTTTGATGGACCAATGTGTTCTGGACTCGCTTCCGTCATCACCGTGTGTGGAATGATTGGAACAATATCTGACTCTGAACTTTGTAAAGTGCTTTGGGTCTGTACCTTGGGCTGTAACATGTGCTATATAAATAAACATTACTTACTTACTGTACTAGTGTAGGGTAGGAACGGGTGGAAACTGGGCTTTAGTAAGAAGAAGTTGTGAGTAAATGGATGAATGGAGTTGGTGAGAGTTTGAATGAGACACAATAATTTTAACATATTGCTTTGACACACACACACACACACACACACAGACACACACAGACACACACACTCTCCCTCTGGTCAGTCTGAGCAGCTGTCGTTCCTCTGAGTCGGTCCAACTGGAGAGATTTACGCTTCTGTGGACTTTGAGTGAATACAACAAACAAGCCCAGGAGGGAGAGGGGGAGAGAGAGGGAGAGAGAGGGAGAGAGAGGGGGGAGAGAGACTCTCCATTCTCTCACTCTATTCAGACCTATTGTGCATGTTTTTAGTGGTAGGGGAAACCGGAGCACCTGGAGGAAACCTACAGAGACACAGGGAGAACATGCAAACTGCACTCAGAAAGGCCCTGGTCCGACCGGGATTTGAACCCAGGACCTTGTTGCTGAGAAGCAAGAGTGCTATCCACTCAGCCACCGTGTCGAGTGGAAAGGACTCTCAGAGCAGATACAGAGACAGAGACACAGACACAGACACAGAGACAGAGAGACACAGACACAGAGACACAGAGACACAGAGACAGAGATACAGAGACAGAGACACAGAGACACAGAGACACAGACACAGACACAGACAGACACAGACACAGAGACACAGAGACACAGACACAGAGACACAGAGACACAGAGAGACAGACACAGAGAGACAGAGACAGACACACAGAGACAGACACACAGAGACAGAGACAGAGACACAGAGACAGAGACAGAGACAGAGACACAGAGACAGAGACACAGAGACAGAGACACAGAGACACAGAGACACAGAGAGACAGACACAGAGAGACAGAGACAGACACACAGAGACAGACACACAGAGACAGAGACAGAGACACAGAGACAGAGACAGAGACAGAGACACAGAGACAGAGACACAGAGACAGAGACAGAGACAGAGACACAGAGACAGAGAGACAGAGACAGAGAGACAGAGACAGAGACAGAGACAGACACACAGACAGACACACAGACAGACACATATAAAGTCTTCTGTCTGTTGAGGACGATTCTTAAACAGAGCTGACACAGAGCAGATGGCTCAGAGAGAGAAATGTAACTGTTATTTAGACTAAACACTGAGGGGGGGGGGGGGGGGGGGGGGGGAGGCAGGACTGAGGCTGTAGACCCAGGACTGAGGCTCAGGTTCCCCTCGGCCTTGATCTTGGTCTCAGTCTTGATCTCTGTCTCTCGGTCTCTCGGTCTCTCGGTCTCTCGGTCTCTCGGTCTCGGTCTCGGTCTCAGTCTCGGTCTCTCTCTGCAGACTCAGCCTCATTCACATCTGGCACATGTGGCTCGGACAGATGCTCGTTACGCTCACTGTCAACTCTCCTGAAACGTCAAAAACAGAACAAATGGAGACATGTCAGAGGAGACCTGGAGGAGACCGAGAGGAGACCAGGAGGAGACCAAGAGGAGACCAGGAGGAGACCGAGAGGAGACCAGGAGGAGACCGAGAGGAGACCAGGAAGAGACCGAGAGGAGACCAGGAGGAGACCGAGAGGAGACCAGGAGGAGACCAAGAGGAGACCAGGAGGAGACCGAGAGGAGACCAGGAGGAGACCGAGAGGAGACCAGGAAGAGACCGAGAGAAGACCAGGAGGAGACCGAGAGGAGACCAGGAGGAGACCGAGAGGAGACCAGGAGGAGACAGAGAGGAGACTAGGAGGAGACCAGAGGGAGACTGAGGAGACTCTCTCTCTGGTCTCCAGGTCTCTCTCTGGTCTCTCTCTGGTCTCTCTCTGGTCTCTCTCTGGTCTCTCTCTGGTCTCTCTCTGGTCTCTCTCTGGTCTCTCTCTGGTCTCTCTCTGGTCTCTCTCTGGTCTCTCTCTGGTCTCTCTCTGGTCTCTCTCTGGTCTCTCTCTAGTCTCTCTCTAGTCTCTCTCTAGTCTCTCTCTAGTCTCTCTCTGGTCTCTCTCTGGTCTCTCTCTGGTGTCTCTCTCTGGTCTCTCTCTGGTCTCTCTCTCTGGTCTCTCTCTCTGGTCTCTCTCTCTGGTCTCTCTCTCTGGTCTCTCTCTCTGGTCTCTCTCTCTGGTCTCTCTCTCTGGTCTCTCTCTCTGGTCTCTCTCTCTGGTCTCTCTCTGGTCTCTCTCTGGTCTCTCTCTGGTCTCTCTCTGGTCTCTCTCTGGTCTCTCTCTGGTCTCTCTCTGGTCTCTCTCTGGTCTACAGTCTGATTGTTGTATTGTAAAAGTCTCTTTTTCTTCGTCGGCAGCAGCTGGACCAACCCCAGACCTGTGGGCTGTGGTCGGTCCTGCCGGGACTGGAGGGTCTGGCTCGGTCTCTGGGTCCAGCAGCTGCCAGGGTCCGAGCCTGTGATACCTGAGTCTGCGAGTCTCGGGGCAGGTCTGAGTTTGGACACATTCCTCTGAGAAACCCTGAGGTGACACATGGACCAGGACTGAGACCAGGACTGAGACCAGGACTGAGACCAGGACCAAGACCAGGACCGAGACCAGGACAGAGACCAGGACCGAGACCAGGACCGAGACCAGGACTGAGACCAGGACTGAGACCAGGACTGAGACCAGGACTGAGACCAGGGCCGAGACCAGGACAGAGACCAGGACTGAGACCAGTAATGAGACCAGTAATGAGACCAGTAATGAGACCAGTAATGAGACCAGGACAGAGACCAGGACCGAGACCAGGACCGAGACCAGGACCGAGACCAGGACCGAGACAAGGACCGAGACCAGGACCGAGACCAGGACCGAGACCAGGATAGAGACCAGGACCGAGACCAGGACCGAGACCAGGACCCAGACCAGGACAGAGACCAGGACCGAGACCAGGACCGAGACCAGGACCGAGACCAGGACCAAGACAAGGACCGAGACCAGGACCGAGACCAGGACCGAGACCAGGACCGAGACCAGGACAGAGACCAGGGCCGAGACCAGGACTGAGACCAGGACTGAGACCACACCTGAGACCAGGCCTGAGACCAGGACCGAGACCAGGACCGAGACCAGGACCGAGACCAGGACCGAGACCAGGACACAGACCAGTCATGAGACCAGTCATGAGACCAGTCATGAGACAAGGACAGAGACCAGGACTGAGACCAGGACTGAGACCAGGACCCAGACCAGGACAAAGACCAGGACAGAGACCAGGACCGAGACCAGGACCAAGACCAGGACCGAGACCAGGACCGAGACCAGGACAGAGACCAGGGCCGAGACCAGGACAGAGACCAGTACTGAGACCAGTAATGAGACCAGTAATGAGACCAGGACAGAGACCAGGACAGAGACCAGGACAGAGACCAGGACAGAGACCAGGACTGAGACCAGGCCTGAGACCAGGCCTGAGACCAGGACCGAGACCAGGACCGAGACCAGGACCGAGACCAGGACCGAGACCAGGACAGAGACCAGGGCCGAGACCAGTACTGAGACCAGTAATGAGACCAGTAATGAGACCAGTAATGAGACCAGGACAGAGACCAGGACAGAGACCAGGACAGAGACCAGGACAGAGACCAGGCCTGAGACCAGGACCGAGACCAGGACCGAGACCAGGACCGAGACCAGGACCGAGACCAGGACCGAGACCAGGACACAGACCAGTCATGAGACCAGTCATGAGACCAGGACAGAGACCAGGACTGAGACCAGGACTGAGACCAGGCCTGAGACCAGTACTGAGACCAGGCCTGAAACCAGGCCTGAGACCTGGACTGAGACCACGACCGAGACCACGACCGAGACCAGGACTGAGACCAGGACTGTGTGGTTGCAGTCCCTGAAGGCTCTGGATTTGATTCATGTTTAAAAAATATCACAGACTGGAAATGTATTCTTTATATTCTACTGGCTCAGTCCTGGGTCTACAGCGAGAGAGACTAAAGAGAGAGACCAGAGAGAGAGCAGGGAGAGACCAGAGAGAGACCAGAGAGAGACCAGAGAGAGATAATGAGAGAGACCAGAGAGAGACCAGAGAGAGACTAGAGAGAGACCAGAGAGAGACCAGAGAGAGAGACCAGAGAGAGATAATGAGAGAGACCAGAGAGAGACCAGAGAGAGACTAGAGAGAGACCAGAGAGAGACCAGAGAGAGACCAGAGAGAGACCAGAGAAAGACCAGAGAGAGACCAGAGAGAGACCAGAGAGAGACCAGAGAAAGACCAGAGAGAGATAATGAGAGAGACCAGAGAGAGACAAGAGAGAGACCAGAGAAAGACCAGAGAGAGACTAGAGAGAGACCAGAGAGAGACCAGAGAGAGACTAGAGAGAGACTAGAGAGAGACCAGAGAGAGACCAGAGAGAGACCAGAGAGAGACCAGAGAAAGACCAGAGAGAGATAATGAGAGAGACCAGAGAGAGACCAGAGAGAGACCAGAGAAAGACCAGAGAGAGACTAGAGAGAGACTAGAGAGAGACCAGAGAGAGACCAGAGAGAGACCAGAGAGAGATAATGAGAGAGACCAGAGAGAGACCAGAGAGAGACTAGAGAGAGACCAGAGAGAGACCAGAGAGAGACCAGAGAAAGACCAGAGAGAGATAATGAGAGAGACCAGAGAGAGACCAGAGAGAGACTAGAGAGAGACCAGAGAGAGACCAGAGAGAGACCAGAGAAAGACCAGAGAGAGATAATGAGAGAGACCAGAGAGAGACTAGAGAGAGACCAGAGAGAGACCAGAGAAAGACCAGAGAGAGATAATGAGAGAGACCAGAGAGAGACCAGACAGAGACCAGAGAGAGACCAGGGGAGATTAGGGTGTCAAACTTATTTTGGTTGAGCGCCGAATATAAAATGAAAGTGCTGATCAGGGGCCGGTCAGTTTAAGTGGGTTGAATGTATTATACTTGTTTATAATATGAAGATATCTGTATAAATGAGTTGTTTCACATTAGTTGGACTGAACCAAAACTGGACCAAATATTGAAGATATTCTACTTCTGTGTGGATCATCAGACTATTGGTCCTCCCAACTGTCAATCATTCTGGTGATTCGTGCTCGTCCAATAAGACCAGAGAGTTTTGCTCAAAAGGTGGAGAGGGCGGTTCTTTCCTCAGAAAATTGGGAAATCTTCCTTCACACCTTTGAGAAGAAATTGAATTGAAGACTCGTAAAAAAACATTACATAACAATACTAACTTTTAATGACATGTTGGCTTAAGATTAGTTTTGGAATTACATTTTGGTTGTTTTCTTGGCGACAGTAGCTCAGTTGGTAGAGCATTGGCCTTTGGGCCTGAAGGTCGTGGGTTCAAGCCCACCATAAGACCTACTTCACGACTCCCACTGATGACTGCTGTCGTTGTGTCCTTGGGCAAGACACTTAACCCCACTTTGCCTGAAGCCCCCACTGAAAGATCTCAGCTCCTGTGGACTCAGCACCTGCAGGAGGATCAGTGAGGGGCTGGTGCTCTGTGGACTGGGTGCAGCTCTGACTGTCACCCCCCCGACCCAGAAATGGATTAAGGGGAAGAGGATGGATGGTTGTTTTCTTGAGAAAATTAATAATGGAAAACATGCCATTGTCGCCTATAACCATTAATGCTGCTATTTAATATAATAATTTAAAATCATCTCAGGGCCTTGACTTTGACACCTGTGGAATAGAAAGAGACTAGAGAGAGACCAGAGAGAGACCAGAGAGAGACCAGAGAGAGACCAGAGAGAGACCAGAGAGAGAGACCAGAGAGAGACCAGAGAGAGACCAGAGAGAGACCAGAGAGAGACCAGAGTGAGACCAGAGTGAGACCAGAGTGAGACCAGAGAGAGACTAGAGAGAGACTAGAGTGAGACCAGAGAGAGACCAGAGAGAGACCAGAGAGAGACCAGAGAGAGACTAGAGTGAGACCAGAGAGAGACTAGAGAGAGACCAGAGTGAGACCAGAGAGAGACCAGAGAGAGACCAGAGAGAGACCAGAGAGAGACTAGAGTGAGACCAGAGAGAGACTAGAGAGAGACCAGAGTGAGACCAGAGAGAGACCAGAGAGAGACTAGAGAGAGACCAGAGAGAGACTAGAGAGAGACCAGAGTGAGACCAGAGAGAGACCAGAGTGAGACCAGAGTGAGACCAGAGAGAGACCAGAGAGAGACCAGAGTGAGACCAGAGAGAGACCAGAGTGAGACTAGAGAGACACCAGAGAGAGACCAGAGAGAGACTAGAGTGAGACCAGAGAAAGACTAGAGTGAGACCAGACAGAGCAGAGAGAGCATGGGTGACTCTCACTCTTCAGTCTGAGTGTGGAGGACTCCTCAGAGGGTTTCTCTCCTGATAATCTGTGTATTTAAAACAATATTTGTCACTTTTATCTGCGTCTCTTTCGGGGAGTTCTAATCTCTGTGGATCATCTCTGTTCCATAATCCAGTTTCATCTCGTATTCATGACCATAATCCCGGATTAGCACCGTCTTCATTGGCTTCAGTGAAAGAGAGAAAACCATCGTCTGTGTGGGAGAAAAGTGTTAGACAGAGAAGTCTCCGGTCTCTTTATGGTCTCTTTCTGGTGTCTCTATAAGAGAGGAGAGAGAGACTAGAGATAGACCATATAGGGACCAGAAAGAGACCAGAGCCAAGAGAGAGGCCAGATAGAGACCAGAGAGAGACCAGAGAGAGACCAGAGAGAGGCCAGAGAGAGACCAGAGAGAGAGACCAGAGAGAGACCAGAGAGAGACACCAGAGAGACACCAGAGAGAGACACCAGAGAGACACCAGAGAGAGACACCAGAGAGACACCAGAGAGAGACCAGAGATAGACCAAATAGGGACCAGAAAGAGACCAGAGCCAAGAAAGAGGCCAGGCAGAGACCAGAGAGAGACCAGAGAGAGGCCAGAGAGAGACCAGAGAGAGACCAGAGAGAGAGACCAGATAGAGACCAGAGAGAGACCAGAGAGATACCAGAGAGAGGCCAGAGAGAGACCAGAGAGAGACACCAGAGAGACACCAGAGAGAGACCAGAGATAGACCATATAGGGACCAGAAAGAGACCAGAGCCAAGAAAGAGGCCAGGCAGAGACCAGAGAGAGACCAGAGAGAGACCAGAGAGAGATCAGAGCAAGACCAGAGAGAGACCAGAGAGAGACCAGAGAGAGAACAGAAACTAATTAGAGACTAGCAAGAGACCAGAGTCCAGTTCCCCTCAGGGCAGATCCACACAAAGCAGAAATAAGAGGAGAGGTTCAAATCTGCAAAGTGTTGGATTTACGAAGCGACAGCAGAGAAAGGTTAAAGTATGGATTGTATTTTCACTAGGGGTTTATGAGCGATGTTAAAGGAAAGGCTGATGGGACCAGAGAGAGACCAGAGAGAGACCAGAGAGAGAGCAGAGAGAGACCAGAGAGAGACCAGAGAGAGACCAAAGAGAGACCAAAGAGAGACCAGAGAGAGACCAGAGAGAGACCA